GACAAAAAAGAGAGCAAATTTTTAGAAAGTCTTCCAGTGATCGACAATTAACTATCTATTAAATGAAATAACAGTCTGTAGGTTTCAATCTTGGGTACGCCACTCGTTTAAAACCGGTACGCGTAGCTAGTCCATAATAAGTAATAGGGATGATCATCATCATCATCATCATCAGCCCTTTATTTCGTCCCCACTGCAGGTCTCAGGCCTACCTTATGGATGGTTAAGGAGCATTATTAAGGAGCCATGGCACTTCACGCTGGCCAAATGTGGATTGGCGTGTATTAACGACTACAAATGCAGCCGGGACCAACGGCTTAACGTGCCTTTCGAAGCACGGAGTAGCTCGAGATAATAATTTTTGGTCACCCATCCCATGACCGACCCTTGCGAAAGTTGCTTAACGAAAATGATCGCGTGCCGCGGCGCATATCCACTACGCCACCGAGCTACTCATAGGGATGATACTTGGGTAAAAAATAAATTCTATTTTATGTGAAGTATTTCCTGAACATAATAATAATTCATATACCTACTCATTTCAGAGCCAAAGGCGAAGAAGAAAAAGGGGAAGAAAATAAAAGCAGAGGTAATTGAAGATCGATTCATATCCATATCATAGCCAGGTCGCAGAAAATTATTATTTCATGATGCGGCCAGCCATCTAGTTTAATGATATGGCAATCCACGTTTGGCCATATCATTAATGTATTAATGTAGTCCAAAAAACAAATTTAAAAAAAATCTGGAATAACTTTTTTGTACATTGATGTCGTGTGATTTTGTGGTCTGAAAAAATAGCCTCGAAATTTAAGACTTTTCTAAAATTTCAGACTTGTCTTAAAAATTAAGACTTGACTTAAATTTCTAACCTATCAAGTGACCGTAATGAATCATACAGTCCAGTTCATATCTCAAAAACTTTAATATCCTTCAATAAAATTTTATCAACCTCGGGATCGTGACCAATGGCCAAAATCCTGTCTTTATCATAATCTGGCGACATATCCATAAAACAACAGAATAGCCTTCTCCGTCGCACCTCCGCACATACACCCCTACTCTTATTTCACTAAACTTGAACCATTACAAATAGTAATATTACTAGTAATTTAAGTAACAAATCGCTTTAAACTATAACTTATATATCTTACGGCGACATTTGGAAATCCAATAGAAGTCCATTGATTTCCGATGCTTGCTCATCCTACTTTCTTTTATTTGTTGTGTAACCAATTTTAAGATATGATCACTAATGCTTGGCCACATCATGAAGCAGTAGCCCATATCGTTAAACGCAAATTACTCATTGATCTGGCCAGTTCCACATCATGATGTGGGCAGCATTTTTTTTCCGTTTCATGAAATGCGACCATTTTACGAAATGGCCGGCCGGATTATGTACGACTATTATTCAATTCTACTATCTGCCCCCTTACTCTCCAACGCAGTCGTAACAGATCGACATTGAAATAATCTTGATTGGTTTACTATAATACTCTGCGCTAATGTATCCGATCAAGAGTACGAAACGACAAAATTGTAATGCCGATCGCAATTGCTTTCGAGAGTTAGGGGGCTGGTCATTTCATCGATATTGACTAATTTACAATGCTAAGGTAACTCCCTCATAGTTATCACTAACTGGCAAAATTTAATATACACTAAGTTTAAAGGACACGTGCTACTTTTTATTTCCAATTTCAAAAAAATATACGACTGAATTCCCCGCAAATTTTAAGCTAGTTTTCTTCATTCAAGGATTCAGAGTTTTCTACGCCCGCCTAACTCTCTAGCCATAACTCTAGCCATAGTTATAACAGCGTTTTATGGGTTTTATCAACGATTATGTTTATATTCTTTCATAATGATCATCATCAATGATTTTGATTATAGTCATTTTCTGAATTATTTAAATTTGACTAAATAATAAAATAATTAATTTAGGCAAACAAAAGCTATGTCGAAAAGTTCTATAAAACAAAATTTTGGATTTAATATTTAATAAATTATTAGCTGTTAATAAATAGCTCGCGTAAATTTGAGTCTATGTTACCCACAGGCACGTAGCTAGGTGAAAGAATTTTTGAAATCGGTCTAATATTTTCGGAGCCTATTCGATGCAGGCAATAAAATCAATATAGCTTTATGAATGCAAAGTTTAACAAATATAATAAAAAAAAGAATATCTTATTAATTGATAAAATCTGGTTGGAATGGCTGTTGTTGTCTCGAGTTAATAAAGAAATAAAAAGAAATGATTATAAAGTAACATGCACACTTTATATTTTTGCTCAGACCGTAAACAAAAATCTTACATTTTTTTAGGTGATTTGAAATTTATGAGCTAAGAACACTGACGGGGATGAGTAAGGAATTCAAAATTGAAATAAATTGGTGTGGGTTAAGTGAAGAACAAAAATAGGATGAGTAAAGAAAAAATAATGCATAGGATGAATACGGAACAACCCATTGTTACAGCTATGACTAGAGTTAAAGCAGGAGAGTTAGGCGGTTGCACTGCAGGGGTGGGCAACCTGCGCTGCGGCTCTTTAAAAAAAATGATTTAACCGTCAAAACCCTTTGAATTGTCGAATAGTATAATCAATGCATAGTTGAATATCCATATTATAATATAATTGAGGTGTATTGACCATGACTGAAACTTAACATATTTTCAGTTCAAAGCCGAATGTTGCCAAATGCCTAATCTTGAATTTAGACTGTTAAAATTTGAGGCTTGTTTATTTCTATATCATGTTTATTTTATATTGCTATACTTACCTCTTCTTTTTTTTAATCTCCTAATAACGTTTTGTTCGCAGAGTCGTGTAGAAGTTGCTAAAGAAACAAGTGAATTCTTCCAATGGTCTGAGGAGTCTCTTCCAGCAGGCATGTTTTAAATAGACTTGACATATCTAGCAATTGTCTTAAATTATAAGGCTTTTGTTATTCTTTATTTCGTATAAGAAATTGTTACTTCAAAATGATAATTATAATTTTACTACAACAGAAGAAGAAAAAGAAAAAGTAGAAGAAGAACAGACACAAGAGAAGAAGAAGAAAGGCAAAAAGGGTAAGAAGAAAGAAAAGGAGGAGATACCTGAGTTCGAAAAGGTGTGGCGTTTTTTATATTTTTCTTATTTCGATTGTCTAATATGTATGTCATGGCACAGCTTCAGTAACCTTACTCCTACGAACCGATTTTGATGAATTTTTTAAATTATATTCAATAGATCAGAGAGTAGATTGTTCTCTATTTTTAATAGCCCTAAGTGAAAGGGTGGTCCACCCCAAATTTATATGACAAAATAACGTTTGCTGGGTCAAATAGTTTATACCTAATACTTAATATCAACAATTTTGCAGTATACGAAATAGATACCTTAAAATTATGAAATTCAGAAAACAAATACAAACAATAATATTGATTAGATATGTAAATACAATTATTCTTAATACAAAATGCTTAAAATAATCCACTTTGTCCCTGACACTCTGAGATGGTATTCGAACCCATGACCTTTGGCAATCCGGGCAACTGCTCTAACCACTGAGCTACCCAGGACCTAACAGGACTGACGAATCTTTCAAGCACTTGTTACTTTACGCTATTTCAGAGTGTATTCTCATCAATGTTCAGTAATTAAATACTTAAATACTAATAATAATTAAATATTTAAATACTTGCTCGTTAGAGCGCGTGACGTCACTTGTGGGTAATTCGTTGTTACCTAGGAAAAATCACGGGAACCAATCAAAGAATAAAATATTCTTAATGTTTACTTAATTTTTAAAAGGTTACAAAGGCCAATTTTCTGTTTTATTTATTTGTAAGTTTAAATATGAGTACATATTGCAGACGATAATTCATTTATTTTCATTAAAAATCCCTTTTGTCTACCTTACCAATGACGTCACGTTCTCCGAGTCGCCGTCTACGCGATTTCTTTTAACAGTTAAATTGTCACCATTGTTTTGGCTATTTAATGAGGTTTAAATATATTTTTATTGTGGGCATAAGCGCCCATATTGATTAATTATATACACTCAAGCTATCAAATCTTTCCAATTTATAATATTAGTATACATTCATTCGTAAAAACAATATTTTATCCGCTCTAGCTTTGAAGCCACTTGGAGCACCAGAGAATTATAATACTATTCATTCGACCACAAAGGTCATCAAACATATTGTTGTGTGTATTTCAAATTTTTTTTTTATGTTCAGCAATTCCTGAATAACGACATCGCATGTTTATTGAAGTACCTTTACACACGACATATTAAATACTTGTTTTATGTTTTGTTGAATCCACGTCAGTGTATCTTCTGATGCATTACAAGGAGCATGAAGTTTCATTTAAAATAAGTTGCTGCTCCTAAATAATGAGTAAATGTTGAGTGTTCTTAATTTTTGCATATTCCAAATGCGAATACCGTTGTCTTTCTGTTTTAAACGCGATAAACTCGATAAGTAACCAATATAATAACAAATTAATGTTTAAATAAGGTTTAACTGTGCTTAAAATTGACTGAAGTATGTCCGTATTCATTGATGACGTCGGTAAAAAACAAACCGCCTGGGACTTTACTATATCGAGATTGCACCTGCGTGACGTCGATGTAGGTCGCTAGATGATGGGTCTATGCAAATCTGACGGAAGATTCGTCGAGCGTCTCACGGAAGTATGCGTTAGACGCAACGTATAATACGTCGAGAGTGCAAGGTTGTTTATCGTATCATATATTTATCAGTTTTAAAGTTCCACGATCGACGATATGCGACGCACCTGCCGTCAGATTTTGATCTAATTAAATCAATTAACTTTAAAATCAACCCTTAACCTTAAATAATTACTTCTCTTGTGAAACTTTCAAAGTCCTCTCAGTAATGATAAATTTATAGATTATCTAAATGATTTTAAAATACTGTAACTTATCAAACGTTACTATAATATAATATAACTATACTGTGACAGCCGAAAAATTGGAAAAAAATGTCTAAGAAGGAAAGAGAAACGTGGATGTTGCAGAGGATAGAAGAATGGAAAGCAGAGAAGGAAGCCGAGAAGTTGGTTTATAGTATTACTAGTACTAATGTTAGGATTGCATATAGGTAGTTGAGCAAATAGTTCCATACTCTTTTGCTATTATAGATACTCTGTTCAACAAGCAGACCTAGTCATAGGGATTGTTATCAATCCGTTGTTATAGAACGTTATCAACCCCACTTACTTTAAGACACCCCGCTTACCACCCCATTAAAATTTGCGTAGATTCTAGTTTCCATCTACGATTTCAGGCAAGGTTTACCAATTTAAATCTCTAACGGAAGCTAACGGTTTCGACAAATGGTGTCCTAGTTTTAATGTTCTACCCAATCTAGAGCTTCGTTTGAAATTAAACTAACTTTTGGTACAAGCTGGAGGTTTCTAGCAAACCGCGAATTCCTTGTGTACCAAACTATTGTTGTTCAATAAAGTTCATAAAATAGTAGGTAATACATGTTTTTGTAAGTATTGTAATTATGAATATGTCGGTTTACATTTTCTTGGAAAAGATCAAGCAATTTAATTTGAAACCCATCATTCCGCTGAACTTATTTTCATTGGAAGAGGTCCAGTCGAACTTTAACCACTGAGCATTTCCATAATACGTTTCTTTTTTGTTTTTCCATTAAGGCAAGCTATTCTTGCTGGTGCGAAAGAAAAAAGGGCGCAACTCGCAAGGGAGAGAGCGGAACTGATGGCGAAAGATAATTCTGAACAAGAAATCAGAAGGGATTTACTGCAGAAGACTTGCGACTTGTTTCAGAGTACGTATCTTATAAATATCATCACGTCATATATTACATATATTCTTAACTAAGTAGATAAATACCTTTGTGTTATACAATACAAGAGAGTTTCCATTCTACATTGAAAAGAATAAAACCCAGGAACTTTATATGGCGATAGCTTGAAAATCAATTGACGATATGAGTAACAAAGTCAGAATCATGGCTAATAACTAAAAACATAACGCATACAAAACAAAGTTCAAATAAAAACATAAGTTCCTTATAACGGCATACTTCTAATATCAATATTTATAAGATACAATTTCGAAATAAAAAATTTATATAAGTAACTTTATGTCCGTAAGCTGTCATGAACGATTTTATTATAGTGTTTGATAGTACGCGGTTAATAATTACTTATTGTTATTTCGTGCTATAGAGTGGAAAATATGATAATATGACCAGCATTAAGTGTTTTCATAAATCTATTAAATTATCAATTAACAGAAGAAACATTGATCTCGTTATCCATGTTATCGAATGTCTGTGAAAATTCAATAATAGCTTTCCGCCAGTGACTGCAGTTTTCTCGTGAAACATTTTGTATATTGATGAAAATATCAGCATTAGAATCCACTGTGTAAATCTCAGTGTAGAAACAGCGGGAAGCGACTTTTTTTATATAATACGTATAAATGTTGTACATATTTTAACAAAATTCCAGAATTCGAGAGGCAAAAGATGGATTTCGAAAACAAGAAACAACTAGATGCAGAGGTAGGTTCCATATTTTTTAATCACCTAAATTTTAGGGTTGCATATCTTAAAGGATATATAATGACTGGTACTTTTATTCATCTATCTATCTACCTGGCTGTGTAAAGCCCCCTTTTCTCATAAGCAGGAAATGTCAATAAATGTAGCTCTAAGCTGTGAGTGTGAAAAATTAAATTTGTAAATCAATGTAACTAAATATATGTGTTACAGTCGGTTATATATCGTATCTGGAGACTTCAAGTCTTAAGGTATAATTTTGACTGACAAGGAAGTTTTCAAGAAACGATATCTAAGTATCCAAAAACAGTGAAATTTAGAAAAATATAACAATTATCGATGATTTCATTTATTTTAAACTTTAATAATGTCGCATAAGATTTTTCTCACTTTAATTGCGTTTACAGTGGCAACAGTATCTCCGGTGTGACGGTCTACCAGACCCTCGTGTGGTCACCCAAATGAACACCTACATACACATCTGGCAAAACCAAATTAACTGCGATCCAGACGAACTAAACAAGAGGTGTATAGAAACTTTGCCGGTAGGTTACGATATGAATACAAATAAATTCATTATCTACACACTGCCGAATGTATATTTTGTTTGGCTTGATTCCTTGCTCAAACCAGATCCAGCTGTCGTCCTTTACACTAATGCAAAACTTTCAACTATTCAAATGAGATGTCAAGTTACAACTATTGATGGTATTGTAAAATATTCACAAATGTATAATCTATTGGTGCATCAAAAAACTAATATGAAGTAGATATTTTTAAGAAAAAATATATATTTTGTTTGAACTACTGGACATATTTATTTTTTACCCTAAGCAAATTATCTTCTGATGAAGTGATGAATTTAATTATGAAAGATTTAAACCTGGTCTCCACCGATTTCTTTCCATATCTACTTTGTCATTCTTTTTTTACCACTATTTTGTGTCACGTACCCGACCCAATCAAATCGCTCTTTGAAATTGCAAAGATACCACAATCTTTCAGACGAGAGGCAATATAGAAACTATCGTGATAATGCTGAGAATTCAATCTGATAGCTCAGAGCTGGTGACCTTTTACTTTATTAATCTTTCTTTACACACAGTAGATTTACCAATACCAAAGATGTAAAATCAGTTGATTGGTCACGGTCAGGATTTATCGCACTTTTTAGCCTGCGGATTTTGTCTGCAAGCCACTAATTTGAATCTTATACCCATACAACTTTCATGTCAACAGATGCTTGAAATGCTGGAGGAGTTTGTGGCCAATTCCAGACAATACACTGCACTACAAGCGCAGAGCTACAATGAGGTATTGCTTTTTACTACTTTGCGTAGAAACTCACTGTCTATCCCTCTCTCTATTTATCATTAACAAATCATGAAAGATGTTAAAATACCGTGTTAGATGATTTGTATTCTTGACATATTTTGTCCCAGGTCCGCTTGGCACTGAGGGAGCAGCTGTCTAACGCTATACAGTTGGCGTCGTACACTCTACTTAGAGACCTGGAGAAATATTTGAAGTTTCAATCGATCAAACTGGCGATGTACGAGAGAGAGTTCAAAGGGTTGCGGCTTAACATATGGGTCGCTGTTCAAATGCCAACGAGGAGACCAAGGCCGCAAGAGCCAGACCCGTGAGTTGTATTAGAGTCTTTTTTTAAAAACTATGGAGGTATTATTAATAGAGTAAAAGATATATTATTGGAAAAGTCCCTCGGTTAGAAAGCAAAAGAAGATGGTTGTAAACTACTGAATAATGTTACAAATAACAACTGCAAACACACTGTTTGTTCGTTCACCTGTACAAAATTTTCACGCTAGCTAAGCATGCAGGAGTAGAAAGAGACAAATAAGGTACTGTAATCTTCTCCCTATGTCTAACCGAGACACGTATCCATGCATTAAATCTTCCTCTATCTAGATTAGACATAGAACATAGACAGAGTTAAGATTGTTCACAGGGAACCAGTTGAGCTATCATTTCCCGCGATGAAAGTGGCGTTGAAGCTGCCTAAAATCATAGACGGGAGCCGCGTGTGCGTGCGCGCGGCGAGGTCCATGATTGATCTCCTCAGCGAGAGCACTAGAACATTCCATCTAGCGGGAGATATGCCAAATAGATACCTAGGTAAGGCTTTCCCTATAGATTGAATTGAATATGTAAAAGCCTTTGGTTATTAAAACAAATAAGCCTACTCGGATAGTTACAATGGCGTGCTATTAATTGTATTAAATAATAATTTATTTATAGATCTCTTCATATTCAACGTTAAAGAACACGTGGAGACATACAAACTTAAGAAAGAGTACGATGACATTCGAAATAAATTCTACAAGGAGACCGGTCAGAAAATACGAGAGCTGGAGAATTTTTTGAAGGCAAACCCGTAAGATGTATAAACAAAATCATTCGGTACCACCAAATAAAATCTGTAGAAAGACTATCGCCATTGCTTTCATTATAGGTTAATAGCATCATATTTTAATCACATTCTTATCCGATCTTGATCTTGCAGACTCCTTTGTCGATAGCTTAGGTTTCTTTTTCAAAATATAATCATACATGTCCAACGATATCGATATCTTATAAATTATTTCAAATACTAGTTGCTCTACCGTGTAACTGTAGTCCTGATTGATATGTCAGTATAGCAGATCAATCAGTATTGGACAAAGAAATTGTTAACATGTATTTCTGTTTAAATTAACTGATATTTTTAGATATACTAAGAATGAAAAAGAAAAGGAAGATCTGGACAATTTAAATATGTCTGAACCACCACCATTGCCTGATCCAAGAACACATATAGGAGAATTGAACGGTGAATAATTATATATTAGACATTCTTACAACTCTGCTTGGATTCCAAGTCCATGTTAAAGGTAAACTCTAAACCTACAGATCCTTTGCCGATTAATAAAAAGTCTGCATTAGAATTGTTTGCTTCGGACACGATTTGAGGTGATAGGTACTTTCAGCTTCATGCTTTCCATTATAGTTCAGTTACAGTCACCTACAGGGGATCACTATTCCCCGCTTTCATTTGTCGGACAGTGTTTTATTGCCCAATGACATGAAGGAGCTGAGGTCACCCATACTGCGCGTACCGGCCTAAATACACCTGCTAATTTATAAATACTTTTTTTTCTTTAGAACAAGCTTTTGCGAAGTATCTCAAGATGTGCACGGTGAGAACGCGTGCTGGTGAAGTGAATCTTCGCAAGTACAGGTAATATATATTCACATACACTATCATGATACCCACATCTGAGAGAATGATACTTCGCCTTGCCTGTATGATGAAAGAAAGGTCTGGACTCCGAATCATAATTCCTGATCAGGTTACCTACCACGGAAAGCGAATTTGTACAGCCAGGCTGCTACTGTCAGATTGATAATAAGTTAATTAGGCCCATCTTTGCATTTTCACTTCTATTCCTGTTTAAACTATACACACATGCATAACACCGATAGGTACGCCGTGTTATATGTGTGAGTTCAATTTGAATAGATATAGAAGTATTTTAGCACGAAATTTCAAGGATGAACCTTATAGCGAGGGTTCACGGTAGTGAAATATATGGAGATCTTCACAAATATATGGCAGAATAGACACTTCATTTTTCATAGAATGTTGTCAAACGAATGGCAACAACTTACCACATCATAACACATCGTGTTACTCCAAAGTGTCGTCTCAGTCAATTGCTTCGATGCTCATCTGTACTCTAATGAACCTTTATTGTATTTAAGAATTTTGACTTTGGTTGACGAAAATACTGTTTTACTTTTATATTTCCTAATATTGTAATGGAAAGTGACTTCATATTTGAATGAAGTCATTTTTCAATCTTGACGCTCTGTATGAAATAAAACAGAGAGAAAAAAGCAGCCTTTGCCGAGTTTCTTGCCGGTTCTTCTCAGTACGAGGTCTCCCGCCGTAGATTTACGAACCGATGACGTAGATCTCGACTTCCACAAGTGCTTGTAACAGCCTAGACTGAATAGATAGTTTTGATTTTGTTGACATAACGTGCAATTAGAGCAGATGACCCTGTTTTGGCCATTTGAAGATTGAGATCTAGTTTGGCCACTTTAGATGTTACGAACTTTGACACATCACAGCTGTTAACGGTATTTATTACTTTTGGCATAATGCAATATTTCAAAAACCGTTCACGATATTAAGTAATATATTTGCCTATGCGTAATTTAGAACGTCTTGCAGTTCCAAATAGCCAAACAAGGGCAGTTGCTTTTGCTCTTAATGTACCATTCTGTACTTCCTTAGCTGTTTAATTTCATTCACATAAGTATAGTTATATTAAACAACAATAATATTTACAGCAGAAATAACTATTATAAATCTTATAATATTCCGCGATTGATGATGCCACATTCAAATATAAGATACCGATGTCTAATAAGACTGCTTTTAAACGCTGGAGTATTAAAATCCAAGGAGAATTTATCTCAAAAACAATCCCGCATCACCGATCGACCGATCAGTAAGGACGTCGGAAACAGATTTAAGTTGGGTTCAACGTTGCAGTGTAAATGTTTCATTAATTCTTTGTTTAAAAACATTAGGTCCTATTTGGAGACATTACCTCATAACCAGTTATAATAAAATTGTATCCCGGTGCACTTGTACAGGATCTGCGGAGGAGTTCTGAATTTGGACCTGCTGATCACGCCACCGCAGCCGAAACGAATGAGGGGCGCTATAACACTAACGGCACGTGAGTGACCAATATCATTTTATTTTTGAATGAAAGTTTAGCTATTTAGGAAAATCACTCCTATCAAAAGTTCGCTACATTGTGAATCACACATTAATAATATTTCGCTCTTGAGTCCCACGTTGGGCGCCAGTGTAATGTCAGAGCACTTGAAGAGAAAGTTGTAGGTTATTTATTTACTATCTTGATGACCAACAGCTAACAATACAAATTAAAATTTCATTCCAAAAACAAACAGCCAATTACAGGTCTTCGCTTACAATAACTGTTTGTTTAAGCTTGAAATATGTTTATAACTTCTTGCGTCAGGAGATTAAATAAAAGAACAATTAAAATAGCTTTCTTTAATTATAATATTTTTATTGCTCTAAAAATTTACAGATTTTTCTAGAAAGTGTGCCACAAACACGGTAAATTACCAAATAAGGTAATCTGCAATCAATTATAACTTAACCATCTATAGATTAAAGCATAATACCTAATGCGCTATCTGCTATACGTACGAAAGAAGTCGCACGTGAACACATCAACACCGTTTAGCATTTTATCATCGTTTATAAATATATATCATCATCGATTGACGTCACGCTACTATCAGCTCTCGGGTGCTGACAGCCTACTACCAGTATCTATCTCCTCCCCCTAGACTCCTACCTCTTACAAACGTTTACTACCCTAGTACATTTTTTATTTACTGTATTGTTTTATATATCAATTACTTTACTGCTTTAATATTATCAAAATTGAATCACTGCTTTAACAGAATAATTTGATTTTTGTGGGATATAAGTATACGTAAATCAAAATCTGTGTAGGTATTTTTCTAGTGGAAAAAATAGCTGCTTTTAGAAAGGGATTAAGAGATTTAGAAATCCCTTTAAATTTTCCGTTACGCCAACGAAACGTTTTCCTTCCGTTTATTTTTCTGCGCTTCAACACTCTTCTCCAAGCGTTTCCAGAACAGGTGCTGATCAGATTTGTTCTTCGGCCAGACTATGTAGGTTTTGGTCAACATCAGATAATGTAGGGTGTTGGGGCGGAATCGGCGTGGTATTTCTTCCAGTAAAATGAGAATCAGATCTTCCCGGCGCGTTTCTAGGAGCCTAGAATTAAATATTAAAAATATATATATAAAGTTAAAGATCCAACGCTGTAGCCATATGAAAAAAAAAGAGTAGATATATCACTGGACAACTAACTTTGTCAGCATTCGCTGCTAAATCACTGATGATAGTAAATAGTTCTCACTCTCTTATCGTTACAATAACAGCAAAATAATTGTAGAGATTCTGATGCACAAACCAGACTTAATTTAGTTTAAATTCTGTAAATAACATGACTGGATCGAGTAAATTATTCGTATTCTCGCGACATTTGCCGTGTAAATTACCTTCGTAGGATTATTTCTCTGTAAATGTAAGAATTTTATAAATCTATCCATTTGTATCGTTCGGAGCTTATCGTTAACGCAAACAAACATATAATTAAATCTTTCCTTATAACATTAGTAAAGGTAACAGAAGTGAACTTTTAATATTATAGTACTTCTGTTATTACATGTGACTGCGGAACAATGTTCGGAAATTCGTACGAGAAAATAACAAAACATACTCAATTTTAAATTAGATCCTTTTAATTATTTTAGAAACTGTTGTTGTTTGAATCAAGACATGTTATAAATGTAATGTGGAATTTTAGAACTGTCATTATAGTTATTATATGACATTCAACTAGATCCATCCATCTACGTATTAACTAACTAACGCATTATCCCGTGATACTCTTGAAGAATCTGTCGTCACATTTATACTGCCTCTTAATCCCAATTTAAGCATAAAATAGACATTAATATCATAAAAACAGTAAAATAATCAATAAAGAAGATGGAGATGAAACATTTATTGATATAACAATAGCACAAACAAAAGAGTACATTATATGGAATAAAGATAAATATTATGAATGGAATAAGAAGAATTAAAGATACTCATAAAGTGAGTATGTAAACGTGAAGAATATACGTACCGGTGTTGTGCTAAGTGCATCTCAAATTGACACCAGTGACTCAACAAGAATTGTTTCGAGATAACTAATAAAATGAACTTTGAACGGTCCATACACGAGACTATATTCTCCAAAATCGAGATTCCCACCTAAAACAATAGTTATACATATCTATGACAATTATTAAAATGTTTAGCGAAGAACAAATGATTGTTATTTGTTAGCTAGACACCTCCACGTTTAATGAGGTTTAATATTTGGGATGTTGACATTATTTATTATTTTGGGTAGAAACAGCAGCTTCACTTCCATTGGTCTCTTAAAAAATTAAACTTAGAAAAAAAAACATTATTTGCTGGGATAGACACAACCCACCTAGCCCTCTTTCCTACGCCTATCGATAAGTCGTGTCTTGGTAAAATATAAATATAAAGAGAATTGCAGCTAATAATAATAAGACAAGTGAATTTTGCATTTTTTTACCACTGGATTAACAGCATATTGTACTAGTCTCACCTAAACATGCTTCAATTGCGTTTATTTCAACTGAAATTACGAAAGTAGATGTAGTGAAAGTGTTTTCTGGAACTATTTATTATTATTCAGTAAAGATACTTATGATAGTATTTCATCTGTTGCGTGTGCTGCAGTTTAAGCCCAAGTATTGGTATTATAAAGTTACGAAGGTTTTCCAAGTTATACAGTATGATGAAATGTATTTAGCTGTGTTATAAAGAAAGTAAATATCCAGCAAACCTGGAAATCTCTCTCATGGAGACAGAGGCTGATGCTGCAATGTCGCTCGAGATGTCCCAGCAGTTGATCCAGCACCCACGCACGGTCCTCGTTGCAATACGACACGAACACATCGTAGTTAAAGATCGTGTCGTCTGATTAATACAAAAGATTATTATTACAAGGTCATCGAAACACATCAAAATAATACCTATATTCTTTTAATTGCGAGATAATACTGAATTCTTTAAGGAAAATTGATTCAAAGAGAAGAAAAAATAAGAAAATGTATCAGTCAATTGTTTTTACGAGGAATTTGAATTAATTTTATATGCCTTTAGTTTAGGACTTTAGTAACCACAAGTAAGTATATAGGTACTAAAGTTAGAATACTATCTGTGTGGCAGTGACGTTAATAGGTTGAAGATGACTCTTGAGTATGACATATTCTTATGGTTTCTTTTGTTATTATGAAAATATGATGATTTTTCCAAACTCCAAAGAAAAGGGAAAAATTTCTTCCTGGAAATTTATTTTTATTTGCATGTTACATGTAAACCAATTTTAATTATATTGATCAAGTTGTTTTTAGTTTGTTTTTTAAATGTACCTACTCAGGTGTCACTAAATCAGAAAGTATTTTCAAAATAAATAATGTTTTTCCTGCTATATTAAAAAAAACTCACCATCGATAATTCTATTCTTATTCACCATGCTTATCAAAGCGGAGTTCTTCAATGTGACACAGAAATACCTCAGATTCCTCCTAAACACAAATCCCAAAGACAATGGTAATAGGAGGCAAGGCAATAATAACAGAATAAAAAGCTTATTCCATCCCGTAGCCAGTTGTGACGACAAATCACGACTTCTTCTCTCTTCACTACACCCCGTCACTCTGACCATAGGTATAGATTTACTTTCACGGGTCATAATACAATTGTACGTAGCCGAGCTATAATCAGAGAGTAATACTATTCCGTTTAAATGATCAGCGTTATCACAGAATCCCCGTTCACAAAGATAGGATATGTTTCTTCGGTGAGCAAGTCGCTGGTTTACATAATCGAATCCAATGTGATAGCTGAACCTTCCTCCTTTATTTGTAAGAGATCGAATCGGTCGATTGGTTGTCCTCAGTTCGTTTATTGCTGCTAATTTTATCAAGTCGTTTGAACGACAATTGCATACCAAAGAATTGCCCGACAGACCCACATACGAAACATTGGCAAAGTCGTCCATCATTTCCTCTGATATAATATTAATGTTATTGTTTAACAAATCCAATACTTCCAAAGAAACCATGTTACTAAATATAGTTTGAAACCAACTGTTCAGTCTATTAGAACTCAAGTCTAATATTTTTAAGTTTATCAAAGATGTGGCCGTCTGCCGTCTCACTGTGGTTATATAGTTCCGGGTCAATTTCAAGATTTTTAAATTACTGAAATTTTCGAATACATCAAATGTCGTTAGAGCTATATCGGACGCGTACAATACCTCGAGGGTCGACTCCAATCCGTGCAATGCATTGAAGCTAGAAAGTAAATTGGATACCCCAGATACATCCAAAATTCTTAAAGAGGTTCCCCTTAAGAAATTCTCGCCGAACCTCAGAGCACCGACGGAACATAATGATAATCTCTCTAAACTTTTACCTAAGTTTCTGAAAGCCACGACATTTCTCTGATTCATCCTGGTATATGAAAAGTCCAATGATTTCAAACTTTTGAGGGGGGCGAACACATCTGCATGTTCAAATAGCATACTTCTGGTTATACCAATAGGGTCGTATATTAACTTAAAGGCGAAGTTCCTGCTCAAATCTAAATGCAGCAGGTTATCGAGGCCAGCAAACGCGTCGGCGTGTATAGTAAGTATAGAATTGTGTGACAAGTAAAGCGCTTCTAGAGCTCTCATGTTTTTAAATAAAAACGGACCCAAGCTCTGTATACCGCACGACCGAAGGTCCAATTCTTTTAGTACTTTAAAATCAACCCGATCAAACCCGCTAGACCAAACTGTTGCCACTGAAAAAAAAAATAATAATATTGGAGTCTCTTTAAAAACAAGACAGTCACGCAACAAAGTGTCGTACAATCGATTTCGTGAAAAGTTGCTCAAAAACTAAAACCCGACTACAACTAAATCACGCTCTAAAAAGTTTGAAACAAGACATTTATTTTATAGCGATATTATGTGAAGGATGACCAAAGGACAGCATAGTCGTATGCCACTGATCATAACAATACAAACTGTTTGAAATATGCTGATTAACTTTTTCATTTGATACCACACACGGAATGATTGAATAATATTTATTTTTTTAATTTCTTACTTTATGCTCCCTAGAGGGCGCTGTTGCCGATATAATATAACGTCACATAGCTATAGCACGCGGAGAACTAAGACGCTTCTAATGATAATATATAATTTGTCCAGTTACGATGAGTAGTTTCGAAGGTATAAGGGAAAAACAGATGAACATTTTTGCATACATGCAAAAAGGAGTATGTATGTCTTACATACCACCCAAAATTATAACCCTACCATTTGCTTCGCTGTAGTCGCGTAAAAAAGGTGAAAAACAATTCAAGCTGTGATGATAATTTTAACATGTGTACTCATAAATAATATGTAGAAAGAGCTGCAAGGCATATCATAGCATATCGAGATATCTTGGAAGCATACAAAAGAGGCTTCACATAATAGATAGATATTTATTTGCCTTTAAATAGGGTACGATTTGATAGCAATTAAATAAAATTAGAACTTTAAACCTATTTAGTCATACAGAGATAACATGCAAATATTAAGTTTAATATTTTTTTCATTACCGGTAACAACAATCAAAATTTTAATCTTTGTCTCAAATCCTGTGCTTGTGTAAACTTTTTACTATTTAATTTAATAAAAATGCAAACCTCTAAAATATAAAGACAGGGTAGTGTCAAAATATCCGGCTTTAGATTGCATATAGCACGCATCTTTTTTGAGCAATAAAAAGAATTTTAGTATCAGTGCCCTTTCCCCAAATTAATAAATAAAAAATGAAAAAAAAACTCACCATCTGCTTGTCTGTTCGTAGGAGTAATTTCTGTGGCGTCCGTAGCATTAAAAGTGTAATCATACGCTTCACCTGCGATACTGATATCTATAAAATTATTCCCATAGAATGATAAATATTCCAACGTGTCCACCAACAACAAGCGGCCATATTTTGCAGAGCGCAAGTCGAAAATCTGAGAATACAATTCATTACTTTTATTTGATTCCCCCCGTCGCACAAAGGTCCTTTAAAATTTAAATGACTAAACGCTAATGAATGTTCGACATTTTAAATTTTGTTTCGGTAATGTCGCTTTAAATTAAAGGACTTTCTGCAACTGGGTGTAGGTGTTCCTGCCGACTACAGTCAACAGTCAGAAATGGTTAATTTCCTATATTAAATACTAGCTATTTATCCCGAGACTTCTTCTGCGTAAATTATAACTTAAGTCACCGGCAAATAATGTAGCGTCCCTCGCACTTTCAGGCTTATTAATTTATAATATTGCTTAAATTAATTATGAAAAACTAATATTTTATCTAACACGTTGTCACGTGACCGCAAACAATCCGTGATGTCACGACCTTCTGCTCGTGTCAGAACAGTTTCAGAGTGCCGTGACGTCATATCGACACCATGATAGAACTGGCGTTATCGCGGGAAATTTTGAAAATTAATTAATTTTTATATTTTAACTTATTGTATGGATATTTTTTTAGATAACTTTCATATATATCTCCAAAATAAAAATGTATAAAAAAGTTGTCTAGATCCCTTTTAACGTGATTGGATCAGTAAAATGGTTAAGTTTCTAACTTTGTATGTTGATTTGAAATACTGACCCAACCACGGAAATTATGTACGGAAAGCTACATCATACGCAGCTGGCACAGGCTATAATTTACGCGGGAAAACAACTTGTATATTATAAACGAATAAAATAATTATACCTTTGGTATACGCATCATACCACATCTTGCCATGCTCATATACTTAATACTTCTTAGAGGACTGTCTTTGTTATTTACTGCTGCTTGAAGCATGGCGCGCGGATTGCTATGGGTCGACAGATCCAATGATATTGATTTATCTGAAAATATGTTCACTGATTAATATTACTGTCAAAATATTAAACTTTAAAATGAATTGGAGCAATTTGACAGATTTGTATAACCTGACGTGCCGTTAACTGTTCAGAGAAATAACACCCAAATAAGCTGTTAATAAAAAATTCAAAACTAGATTAAAAAACACGACTCTATTACCCACATAAATTTACATGTTTTCCATTACTTAACCTCTCATCGCCTCTCTCAAATAACCCAAATTGCCAATCTGACTCTGACTCAATAACAACAGACATACCAACACTAATCGACGTTTAGAAATCATATGGAGACAAATCATGTAGATAGTTACTTTGGCTACTAGTGAACGTTCCGGCCAGGGCTCGGAAACGTTATTCAAAATAACGTTTTTAAAACGTTTCTTATGGTTCTTTGGGCAAGATTGCGTTCGAAACGAAAACGAAATGAGAACGCTTTAAAAAACCGGTTTAATCCGCAAGATGGTGCCGCGCGGGCTGTAAGGGCGGCGTACATTTATTTTATTACGTTATTTACAGTATGCGATGCAAAAAAACGCAAAATAAATGGTTAAAAACGTTTTATTAACCAAAAACAATATAATTCTGTTTTTTTCCAAAATCGTTTTTTATATCGTTCTGTTCGAACGAAACCGAAACAAAGTGTTTTTTAGGTATTTAAAATGAAAACGTTTCGAAAAATATACCGGTTTCCGACCCCTGGTTCCGGCATTCCTGATAGGTCTCTGGTAGCTTAATAGTTGGAGCAGTCATCCGGAATGCGAAAATTCCAAAACATGTACCCTTCATTCGTTATAAACAATACGAAAATGATAGATTTTTTACGGAACGGCGTAAAGGAGGCGTATGTGTAAATCGCTACGATCTGCTAGGTATACGATATTGGATCTCTTCAATATCTATGGCGGCAAAGCTGTGCAGCATTTTATAAAGGAAAAGTTATAGCACAATCTTCGAACCTCGAAACCAGTATTTGTCTATATGATTTTGTAGAGCAAAAACATCAATACGTTGTGCGCAGAACGCTGGAACTTATGAAACAATTTGAATGTTTCCTTTGTTCTTGAAATATTAATTATTTCAAATTTATCAGCATACTTTATGTAAGACAGATAATAGATTACACTATCGTTCGAGAAACTAGACTTGTGTAATTAATAAGTGCCTTCATAACACCTGATAACTTCTGAACCAAACAAATACAAAGCGAGATTAAAAAATAATACAAAAATTTAAAAAAATCACTGCCAAAACCATTCTTAAAAGAAACAGGTTGTATTATGGCTTGTTTTAACAAAATTTTGATTGCAGTCGCCCTTTTAGATTACAAATGTTCCACAGAACGTCCCTCGAACGAAAGAATGAATAAAATTCGCTTTATTATACACTAATCCAGGACAAAACAAATGGATACAATCAAATTAAACGCACAATTGGCGGCCTTATCACTAAAAAGCAATTTCTTCTAGGCAAGCTTTGCATACAAGAAAAAAACTATCGGGTTGGCACAAAAGTAATGAGACACTTGGTTTAAGTTTTTACTTTTTTATTATTATTACAATAAAAAAAGTTTAGTCAATTATGTAATTACCATTAGTATCTAAGACTTCTTGCCAACGATCCGGCAAAGTTTGGATGCCTTTTGCCCAGAACTCTGATGGCTGTGCCTCGAAAAAGTTGTTCAACTCCGCCTCTACGTCAGAGAAATCATTAAATTATTTACCCCGCAAATGCTGTTTCAGGGCTCTAAACAAATGATAGTCTGATGGGACGAGGTCTGGGGAATAAGGTGGGTGGGGTATCGTCTCCCAGCCCAAGTTCTCCAACTGCCGGCGAACCACAGATGCGACGTGAGGTCGGGCGTTATCGTGCAGTAAAACTACATTTAGTCGTCTTCGTCGTTTTTTCTTGATAGCGGCAGATAATTTGGTAAGCTGGGTTGAATATTTGTCAGCGTTTATAGTTTCATTGTGTAATAGCTCATAAAACAGTATGCCTTGCGCATCCCAGAAACAGCAAAGCAGAATTTTTCGGCGGTTCTTTTGACTCGGCTTCGGTTGAGTTGGTGGCGTTTCTTCTCGAGGCAGCCAAAAAGCACGACGTGTATCGTTCTCGTAATAAATCCATGATTCATCTCCAGTAACCAGATCTGACAAAAACTCTTTACGTCGGGGTCGCAGCAAAAGTGACTGACAGATAGCGACACGGACTGCACGACTGGCGTCTGTAAGGATGTGCGGTACCCACCGAGCCAAAACTTTTCGATAACCAAGCTCATGCAGATGGTATTCCACGGCGTGGTGACTGCATTTAAATGCTTCCGCTAATTCACGAGTGGTAGCATCCGGATTCAACTGCAGTTCGCGGCGCAAATCGTCATCATTCACTGCGGGTGGTCGCCCTGAGCGTGGCTGACTTTCAAGGCTCCTGTCTCCTGATTCAAAACGGTCAAACCATCGGGACACCGTCGCATGGCTTGTACTTCCAGCGCCTAATGCATTGTTGATATTGTCAGCCGCAGCCCGCGCACTGTGGCCTAACAAGTACTCGTATAAGTATAGTGTTCGAACTTGTCGCTCGTCCATTTTTCTTCAAACTGACTAAACAAATCGCGAGCGCGGCTTTATATACCCTACACCAGAAGTACCTAGAATGTGCTACAACATTCTAGAATATTATCGAAAAAATTGATTTTAAAAAGGAAATGTTATAGATTTTTCTAGTGTGTCTCATTACTTTTGTGCCAACCCAATATATTCAAATTGGGTAGCATAACTGCCTAATGTCTCAAAAACTTTAGTATAGCATAATACTATTATCTACAATATACAATTATGTTAAGCTAAGCCATAATACAACCAGATTTTCTTTACTTTTAGTTATAAATAAATAAATATTTAATAACATCACATACATTGCTCAGATTCCAAGATGAGTAGCTAAAGCCCCCGTATTATGGAGTATCTGAG